GTGCTTTCTTGCCTCTAACAGAACTTGTGAGTTCTCTGGGGCTAGGGCCATATCTTACTGTGAGCTTGCAGCATTGCAAGGGACCCAGCCTGTAGGTGTTGCTGTAATACAAATAATATTAAATCAAGAATCAGCTCTACCTGGGAGAGGAAGTGTAATGTAGCAACCTGCAGGAGTAGTTAGGCTGTAAGGTGGTGCAGGTCCTTCTACCTGCTGCCTGCTTGCCATAGTTCTCTCAGATGTCAGTAAGTCCTGTGGCTAAGAGGCAGGAAGGGTGGTCGTGGTGGTCACTGCATGCATTCTAACGCGATCACAAAACTCCACTTCGTTTGGGACTTAAGAACTGCTGTTGCTTGTTACACAGTTACCGAGATGGTAGCACAGGTCATGGTTTGCCTTCCCTCCCTATCCTTCTCCTACCATCCGCGTACTTCTACCTTACTCTGTGTCCTGCCCTGACTCAGCCATGAGACGGTTTTTGTGTGTGACCACTGCCTATCTCAGTCCAACTCTTGTATTAAGATTACTGGTCTTAATTATATGCTGGGACTTAGCTGTTCTGTGGCAGTTGGTCTGGTGCAGTACGTTACACCTCTGCTGCCTGTCAGCACTAGGTACTCATGTCTCCCATCCCACTACAACTATACTGTAAATGAGTGCATAGGTGGTGCATAATCCCTCCGTTTGGTCTCATTCTTTGATCGTTCTCTCTTGTGCATCGTGATCTTGGAGACTGCAGAGAGTCTGCAAAGGTCATGCAGCATGTGGTGCTCGCTCAGTACTTTCCATCTCTGCCCTATGCAGTTTCTGAAGACAGTGTCTTTCTGGCTGATGGGGAAAGGCTTGGTGTTACTCTTCCTTCCTGATCATTGTGGGCAATAGAGAGGCCTCATAAGGTCACAGGATGCACTGAGGTTTTACCTCCTCTCCATTTTCCATCTTCCATTGTATATGCTCATCTGTTCTCCTTTCTGCTTGAAAAACACTACCTGACGTGTGTCTACCTATTCCCTCTTTCCTTCAGCCATCTGAAAGTGGGATACCCTCTCTGAGGGGGAGGGCGAGCACTGGCTTTTAGGAACACTCACTCTGAGAATGTTATCTGCCATGTGAAATAGAGATTCAGAGGAATACTGTATAGCAGCGAGCAGTTGAGGGAGGCTGCACTGGTTGCAGTAATCTACCGTACAATGCTCAGAATGTCACAGGGAGACCAAAGTTGGAAAGGTGTTTTTTGTACCCTATTTGTTCCCATTTTATAGTTTGTTCAAGTTGTATTTAGTGTTTCTTACTATTCTTACTATTATTATTATTATCACTGATTTGTTCTGTTTTTCGAAGACTGGAGGGAAGGATGTGAAAATGGGAGAAGAAATGCTGAAGCATTAAGGTATTCACTTTGCTTCAAAGATTTGCATCCAGTGTTTGATATTGGTTGATATTAAGGCAATATAGGCTCTATTTTCCAAAATGCAACTGAAGAAGGAAGGAAGCTAAAGCTAGATTGCAGAAAATCATTTTTGTTTCTGGGTTTTAATATACCCCTTCTTTTCAGCTGAAATGTATCTTTGTTTTGTAATGCTCAGGCCATTTTTTTTCACTTCGCTGAGTGTTCTGCTATCTGTAAAGGTGTTTCCTTTTGCACACAGGGGACTTTTTAACATATAGGTACATTATGAAGTATCTATTTCTTACAGCTACCTGTGAAGACCTGAATTTAGACTTTAGGGCTAGGACAATAAAGAATACGTCAGGTTGCTGCATCAAAAACACAGACTTATCGGTGTGATAAGGAATGATCTGAAAGCCACACAACCCCACAGGAGGGAGAAAAGCAGGTCACAGGGCAGAGGTGTGCAGAATGGGACGCTGTAAAGTATCGCTGATAGATGAAACTCAAACAATTTCCAGCTATATGTTTATGAGTGCTGCAAGGTGGGACTGCGAGGACGTGATCCTGGAAACACTTCTGCAGGTACTAACGTTTTATGTAAGCAGCTGCAGTAGCCACAGCTAATGACAGTATTCAAAGTAAAGCATATGCCAACATTCTTGCAACACTACAGCCCATGTGGTTCATCTCCCTACGGCTGACATAGTGCCATGACTTGGCAGTGTTAGCACAACTTACTGGAAAAAAAAAAGATATAAGTTCTAAAAAGAGCAACAAAAATGATTAGGGGGCTGGAGGGTCTTACTGAGGGGAAAGGTTGGCTACCTGTTCATAATGGGAAAACTCAGACACCTTCCAAATTTTCAAACAATGCAAAAAGAGGAGAAAGGGACATTGTGAAGTTACGGCATCATGGGAGTTGGCAGAAAGAAGAAGAAATTATGAGTAACAAGTGAAATAAAGAACCAGATATTTCAGGGCTGACTTGTCACTGATAGCAGTCAGCCCGGGGACCTTATATTTTCTTAAAATTTGGGATATTTTTGTTCTGGTTCCCGTCAGTCTCTCACAGTCCTAAAGGTCATTGCCTCTGCCTAGAAATGGACAAAATTATCCGCACTTTGCAGTAAGAACAATCATGCATTGGCCTTTGTTGGAGGGGCTGCCAGGGGCCCCCAGAGCATTTCCAGCTCTTCTGTCTGAAATATTTTCAAAGCTCCTATAAAATACCAGAGCCTTGAATTTCTTTTGGAGAGAATTTCTACGTGATAGTCTGTGTTTTGCTAATACAGAGTAGAGGTAATGCTCTGCAAGGGGTTTGGGAATGTCTCCGTGGAATTCAATGGCAATGAGATAAAGTCAGCGCTAGTTAAGTCCAGCAGCAAGATGCTATTTGTAGGACTCTCTGGGAACCTGCAAAGTGAAAGGTACACCATTGATCTGGGCCCAAAGTGTGCATTTTTTTTTCTAGAGCAAAAAGAAATTAACAAAAATCTAAGCAAACAAGGAAGAGGAAGCAGCCAAAAGGAGCACTGAGTGAAGAAATTGAGTTTGCTGCAAACCTCTTCCACATGCCTGCTGTCAAAAGGGATAGGGATAAGGATGTGACTTTCTCCTTTGAATGTGGGTAAGGGTAGCCCTGCTCCCAGGTAGTTTTTCATTTAGTTTTGTTTGCTGAGCAATATTCACAGTGTCCTGCTTTAGCTCAGGAGTGACTAGACAGTTCCTCATTGCCATGCCAGCTTGCATGGCCCTAGCTGCGCACAGCACTGCACTTGTCCTCTTGGACCAGCCTCACCAGTCTGTCCCCTCCTTGATCCTTGCTGCTTATGTGTAGGGACTTGCTCCCACATTGTCACTGAAGAGCTTGTGTGATCCCCCTCCCCAGGTCTGTCTGTCTTTCCATGAAGTTGCTTTTGTCCTCTAACTGCATTTTGTTTCAAGCTTTGGTGAGAGCTGGGAGTCCTTGCAAAGAAGAGCTGGTAGAATAGCAGTTTCTACCATGTCCTGTCTTTACAAGCAGATGGGAGACAGATCTGTCCCTAACAGAGAGGCATTTCTTGAATGTGCCTCCTCCATATAAGGGACAGATTGGTGGCTTGCTGCTGCAATTTTCCTTTAAATGTCTTTGGGAAGTTTGTTGTGGTGAGAGAGCTGTTCCGCAGGCACCTGTTCCTGTGTGGTGGGGAGCGAAGGCAGAGCGCTGCGGCAACCGTCCGGGCTGTCAGTACCTCTGCGGGCCCACTCATCCCTCCCACCAGGCACACGATCAGCGGGAAGTTCCCCTGGGGCCAGCGCCAAACGGCCCTTTCCCGAGACCGCTGGGTCTGAGCCGAAGGCTCCTCGTGTGTCGCGTGGGTCTGGGGCAGCGGAGGGCAGTTGAATCCTGCGCAGCTCTGATGGGCGGCTGCAGGACGGGGCTTTCAGGAAGACGCTATCCAGACCCCTGAGTGTCATAGGTAGGACAATCTCTCCAGTTCCTGGATGTTCGGGGCCAAACTGGGCACAGCCAAGCCCAGGCACCTGCAGAGGTGCACGGTGCCACGGCCGTGCCACTGTGACAGAGCCAGGAGCAGCCCGCGCCCTGTGGCTCCTGGGCCGGCTTGTCCAGACACTGTCTGAGGGAAACCCGGCCTCAGAGCCGAGCCACCCAGTTCCCCTCGGTTTGAGGGTTCGGGGCTCTGGAGAGACCGTGTGGATTTCAGTCTTTACAGCAGCTCTGTGCTCATGTGTTTTGTCCTGCTTTGCTCCTGTTCCTCCCTGTGCTCTCTCCCCTTTTACTCCCACTGTCTGCCAAAGGACACAGGACTTTGTCTACTCAGGACCTTGTCCGATTTTGTCTGAGCCTTGGTGTTCTAGCAGGGCTCAGTGGGCACCCTTTTTTTTTTTTCTGCTTGCCTTGTTTCTTTCTCTTCCCCCTTCCTTTTCAAGCAGGTAGGTTTAGTCTTTGTGCTGGAAACACTCAGGGAATACACGTGTCCTGTATCAGCCATTCCATGTTCACATTGGAAATCATGACAAGATTTATGACATTCCAACCTGATGCATTGTCGCCAATCTTTGTATCTACCAGACCAGCAGCATTTCTGTCCTCAGCTATCAGAAAGGTCACAAACTTCTGCAGTCTGAGACCCAGACAGCAGCTCCTTCAGCACCTAGTTTTGTAGTTTAAACTTTTCCCAGTTTCTGTCCCCTTCTGCATTTAACTTCTAACAGTCCAGATGACTGGACTGAGCAAGTGATAATATATCTCACAGGAAGCAAATTCTTACCCAGTCTTAGGATGATGGCAAGTAGTAGGCAGCAGGTTTCAGTGCAGTTTATTTCAGTTTCAAGGTTGTATTCAAATGCACAGTCCATGACTATTGAGTCCTGTCCAATACTGTTTGGTCCTCTTGTCAAATATCTTTTGACCTCAAGCTTCAAAGCTTTATTGCTGAATTTTAATACTAAACAATATGTTTTAATCATTGCTAAATAAACCTGCTGTATTTTTCTGTGAAAAGGAGCAGCCTGCTTTGTATCTATGAAGCATGGAAACCTTTATCTCTAGTGAGAGAAGAGGACAACACTCCTCACTTACTGCTGCTGCCTTCTCCTGTTGCAGACATTCCTGTGATCCCTGACTTAGAGGAAGTCCAGGAGGAAGATCTGGCCATGCAAGTGGCAGCTCCCCCCAGGTAAGAGCACTACCAGGTGTACTTGAGACTCATTGGCAGCACTAAATGTGAAATGGCTCTGAAATTAAATGCTATCTTATCCTGTGCTCTGTGGATGTCAGTGACTGTCGCATTCAGCAGTGTTTGTTGCTTTATATTGTGATAGTGAGAGTCCAAGCCAAACAGGCCAAACTTGTTTCCTGTTACATAGAGAAGGCAATTCTTGCACATTGTCTGTCTATATGTATATATATAAAAAAAACCCTACATTAGAAAAACATGTTTGATGTTGCAAAATGAAACTCTCAAATTTACGAAGTGCTTAATTTAAGGTTGCCTCTATAACCTCAAATGCCTCCAGTACACATGTATTATCACAGACACTTTGATTTCATGGTCAAAGGCTGCTTTGCCCTCCACAGGATGTCCTCCTTACTCAACTGCCTAGTTAATTTGCAAAGTACAATCCTGTTGTTTGAAGGAATTATCAGAGCAGTCTTGGGGTTAGCTCAAAGGAGACCACCAAACTTTAAAAAATGAAATAGTTGGGGGCTTTATTTTAAAAGAATCAGGAGTGTCTTCTCTCCCCTGTTGGGCCTGTTGCCAAGAACACAGACTGGGATTTCTCTCAACTGTTTTTTGGAGAGATGAAGTATCTTACTCCAGGCTACAGATATCTCTTGTAAATATGGAGTAGGTATTGTCATGAATATCTGTTAACAAAAATAAATGACACTTTGCAGGTGATGTAATACTATGAAAAAAGACCTATACTAACTTCATTTCTGTTTATGCTTGTCCATGAAAACTACCTATCATTTCCATTGCAGAGAAACAATGGAAACAGGAATAACAGATAGGATTAAAAAAAAAAAAACACAGAAAACATAAATGAGCTCTGGTGAGAGACAAAGTAATTTTTACTTTACTACCATAGAGCGAAAGATGGTATAACAGTGTGATACCAGCCCTCCCCCTTTGAAGGCTAACTTTTAAGAAATTGTGTTTGATATCTGTAACCCCAATTGGACATGGAAATCGTAAATTCCCTCCGTTTTTTTTTGCTTGCAAGGCTATCAGAGCGTGCTTTACTTTCAAACTAGGAGAGTGATTTGGGCTGTTAGGTGCTGGCTGTGAGTGCATACTGAGGTGGGGCTGTTTGACTGTTTACCACATGCTCTTTTTTTTTCCTTTTCCTGGCCTTTGGAGCTGATCTGTGGCTATTCTATCTGGAGTGCTGCTTTCTCTGAGCGAGTTAGTTGTCCCTCTACATCAGCAAGAAGCTTTTCCTATTTTTTAGGCCTGTACAGGACATGTCACACAGATGTATGCGTCAATGACCGTTCGTTGAATGAGATGCAATCCTGTATCAGGCCTCTTGAGGTGATGTGGACGCTCAAGATGGGTGTCCCCAGACTCCTGCTTTTCTCAGATGTGTTCCCACACTTATCGAGGTTTGTTTCTTTCCTCTTCTTGGTTATAGTGTCCAGGTGAACAGAGTGCTGACTTACCATGACCTGGACAAAGATCTCATGAAGTATGCTGCCTTTCAGACTCTGGTAAGTGGTGGTTGCTGTGAGATGACTGATGTTGGTTCCTCTCCTTCCAGTCTCCCATCATCCTTAAAAATGGTTTTCAGCTCCAGAAAATTCACAGTGCTGTTATCCAGACATCTTCTAGTCTACCTGCACACTTGCTCCTCTCTGTACATGTGTTTGTGGCTATAAATCATATGGCTATAACATCTGTTGCTCAGGAGAGCCTCCTGGTTCTGTCCCAGGCAAGGCATCTGCTACTTATGAGGCTAAACAGTGTCTGCATCTCTAGCAACCCCTTCCTGGTGAAATGACAGCACCCTTCTTCTGCCTGGCCTGCTGAAGTATTGTGGTGGTTTGTGCGTTCACAGGATGGAGAGGTTGACCTGAAGCTTCTCACCAAAGTGTTGGCTCCAGAGCAGGAACTACGAGAGGTGAGTCTTTCTTTTGGGGAAACTCCGATAAACTGCTTATGTTTCTCAGACTGCGCTTGGAATGTAGACTTCTGTCGATGGGGTGGAGGAGAGACAGGTGAGGAGAAGCCTGTGAAGAGGACCTTGACAAGTTGAGGGAGGGCTTATTTCCCCAGCACCTTATTTTTAGTGTTTATAGGGCTTTCTGTGGTTGAGAGAATGGCATCACTTTGACTGGCTCCCTTTTGTATGAAAGAGCAAGTAAGGAGATTGTGAAGGGCCTAACATTGACACAGATCCGTGCAGAAACAGTGCTCTGTCATCTGTTAGCTTTTGATAGCTACCATTAGCTCCAGGTGCTTCTGCAGGGTGGTACAGAAGGACAAAAGCAAAAGGCATTTGGGGTTAAGGCAGAGGAATATTATAAAGCAGGTCAGAAAAAATTCTCAGTGCAGCTGGGCAAGTGTGAACTTAGGACTGGAAGCAAAAGATTCTTGCAGCTCAGAATTACAGATGTCTCAAAAGAAGAATAGAAATTAGGAGGTTTTTGTGTCTCTTCCTTATGCTTTGCAGGTGAATATATAAGATTAATGGATATATATATATATATAAAAACACTTTTCTTTATTGGCTTTGAGAACATGAATAATTATGTCCAAATCATTAAACTTTGGCAGAGATTCAAGTTTCATTCTCTCTAGGGTTTGTATTGCTGCCATGAGACTCTGGGACTTGGAGACCCTTCCCTGAGAAGGCTGACTGCCATCTAGCCTCTCTCTTTGCTCTTCAGCTTGAATATTTTGCAGCATGCAGAGATTTCTGGATGTCATCAGTGAAATTTCAGTATGTTTGTCTCTCTCTCTCTTTTTTTTTTTTTTTTTTGGTAGGATGATGTCAACTGGGATTGGGACCATCTCTTCACAGAGGTGTCCTCAGAGCTAGTGACTGAGTGGGACTTGGGGCAGTCTGAGAGAGAAGACCACCTCAGTCTGCCCTAGAGCACTGCCACACAAGCCATCTCCTCATCCACACGTCCTCTGTAAATAATTTAGCACTTTAGTTTTTTATTCATATATTTGTATTTGAAAATTTATTTCAGACATGGAAATAAATATAAGCTTCATAGGAACACTGGCTCAAGAGTTTGGGGTATTTTGTAAGCAGAATCTTTGTTCTTGAAAGAGATTAAGAATTCCAAGCACAATAAAATACTTACTTATGAACAGTCACTTCTACCTCACTCGCACCTTTACAAATAACTGCAACAGTCATTCTTCTACTGAAATGCAACACTTTTGGAGTGGACCATCTCACAAATGAGTAGGACAAGTTTGGTTTTCAGTGATGGCTGTCAGATGTCAGTAGGATTTTTTTTTTTAACCTAGGACATCAGTATTACCATTTACAACAGATGCCACAAGTTGTCAGGATATCCATTTGTAAATCTCGTCCAGCGGCAAGGTTTTGCTCCAGCCTCCAGCCATCCCCTGCTACTTTAACCTCTCCTCTGGAACATTACCTCTGTATTGACTCAGAAGAAACAGCATCACCTATTAAACTGCCAACACCATTTCTTACAGCACCTCTTTTTCCCCCTTGAGGTCTCCCAGCTAAGTACTGACCAGACCTAACCCTGCTTAGCTTTTGCAATCAGATGAGATCACAGCCTGAGCTGAGATAGCTTCAGGCAATAGGTGGTTTGCAAAGAAAATACTGTTTATTCCACATATGTGAAAGAATGAAGCCTGCTGCTCTGAAATAAGATAACTCCCACGTGGGTGTTTTCTCAGAACCAAGAACCCCACTCTTCTTGTCACCTAAAAAGAGATCCACGTAGATGGTGACTTCCCTGTCCCCGCTGAGCCGCAGGCACCGCTTTCAGAAAGCAGCAGGATGAGCTGTGAGCCCGTTTCCTTCAAGCCCTGGCTCACTGGAGAATCTTGCTGTGCTTCTCGAGGGCAGTGCTGGTGCTAGGCAGAAGGTGCTGCTTTGGTAGGTTTGATGGAGCACCATGTTTTCACTCGTGGGCTCAGAGCAGGACAGGTCAAGTAATTCACTGTGAATTCGGTACTCTGCAAAATGTCAGCCCAGCGATTCTGCCAGCAAGAGAAGCACTTGTGTGCCAGTGTGAGGGTCACCAAAATAAGGGGAGGTTGGTCTGTCCCAAGAAGATGCTAAGTTCTTTAAAAATAAAAAAATTCCCCTTATAGCCAGAAAGCTAGATGAGAGAGAAAGCTTGGGAAATCCTTGACTGGAGAAACTTGTTTTTATAAGAACAAAAACTTCCCAGCTAAGGCAGCATCTTTTGGCCTGTGACACCTATAGTCTTTAGCCAGGGAGTACTTAGGATATTTCTTACATTCCAAGAAAACAAAGCAAAACAAAACATCTTTCCTTAGAAATCAGTAAACTAAAGTAGTTCAATAGATTAGACAAGACCAGCAAGCCAGTGTAAGAGGACAGTAAAGGGAAGAGGGAATGGGAATAGAGCATAGAGCAAACATACCTGTTTCTGCACCCTGATAATGAGAGGACAAACTTTAGTAGTTGCAGGAGTGGCCCAAGTATCCACCTCTGAAGTTTGGGTCACTGCAACATGCTTCTTCCAGCAATGTGCTGGCCTCCTACCCAATCAGTGCCGCACTGGCCTCCAGATTGTTGAGAAGAGGGACAAGAAAACAGCATGAACAGGAAAAAAAATGAGACCAAGAGATTACATGGGCCTTCTTCCTTCAACCAAGCTTAAAAGCATAGGAGGCCTTGTACGTGTGTAATTTTATAAACACACTCAGTCACCCAGTGCAAGTCAACTAGCTTTCAATGACTACAGAAGCGGAAGATGCCCGGGCTGCAGGCACAAGAGGGGGTGAACTATGAATCCAATTTGTTGGTCCAGCCTGAAGTTTTGTCTGTAATATGTGGCATGTTATGTTTTGAGGGTGTTTTAGAGCTTTGGGGAGGTTATGTTGCTGGAGATTTGAATCCTTAGGAGTGGAAAACTAAGTGTTGGCTGTGTGAGCCCTCCATGCAGCAGTCACGCAGAGCCTACCATGTTCCAGCAGCTCCGTGTGCTGCCCACACAGTCATGGGACTGTTTGCAGGAAGGCTCCTAGTGACATCTGCTGCCTCCAAGAGCTTCTCCAAGATCTCCTGGCGGTGTGGGGAAGACACTCCGACCTGCTGCCATCCCAGCAGCGCGAAGAGTAGCTTCTGAGGCCCTTCATGTGGACCCTTCAGGAGCTGAGAGGAGGAAGAGAAGCATTTCTTAGAACAAGCATAGGAAGGACATTGAATCCCCAGAGATCCTCCTGAAATGGTGAGAGTCAGGAATGGGTGAAGGTTTGGGAGAGCCACTCGAGGTGGGCTGTGTGGAGGAGGGGGCCAAGAGCAATAGCAGGGTCTGTAGCAGATGCATGGCAGAAGCAGGAGAAAAGTGCATGATTTGGTAACTGACAGGGTGTGGGTAAAATTTTGAGAGGACTGAGGCCAGAGCAGGTGCTAGTCAAGAGGCAGGAGAGAACAGAGCACAAGAAATGGATAGTGGGAGTTGAGACATTTGCTGATATGCAGTGGTCTCTTTATGCTCTAAAGCTGCCAAAAATCTGCCAGAGCAGGAGAGTGCTGGGGCTGAGAGCTGCCAGCCCCCGCTGTGCCTCGAGGTCCTGAGCAGGGTGTCTGGGGTGGGAGACAAGCGTGTGGGAGCCAGGCCTCTGCCTGCGCTGGCGCCCTGGGCTCTCAGCGGGCACCTGGGCAGAGTTTCAGTGGAGCTTGAAGACAGACTCATCTATTTAAGGCAAGAAGAAGTGGCTTTTTTTCATTTAGTCTGACCTGCTGCAATACAGCCTGTAACGGAGGCCAGTGAAATGTGACTGAGCTGTGCCTGCCTCTTAGAAAGACAACCAGTATGTTTGAAAGGCTTCCCTGCTTAGTTACTCCAGCAGTTAACTGCCCTTATGGTCCCAAATCTGCTTTATTTCTAGAGTCATTGAGTTTTGTCTTTATATACCCTAAGCCTGATTATGCTTTCACCTTCCCAATTATACCATCCTCTCAGATTTTTTCTCCTTGCTTCAGTATTTACGTGTACTGTGGTCAAGCTGTTGCTTTAATTTCCTTCAATAAACTCAACAGACTGAAACCTTTTCCTATGCCTTTTCAGTTCCTCTCCAGTTGGAGGAAGGGAGGCAAGCTGTCTGGCTCCTGGCCTGTCTCCAGCAAGCTGTCCCCGCTCGCCCTCCTTCCGCAGTCCTGACATGGTTGCAGCACTGGGAAGGTGACTGAAACCTGCTGCATCTCCTCGCTGAGGTACTGATGCTCTCACAGGAGAATCTGCTCCTGTTAACTATCCTCACTGTAAAAGCAGGAGGTACCTGTGCAAACCCAGGGCAGCTCTTGGTTCTTGGCGTGCGTTTGAGAAGTCCCATGGGAAGACTCTACAAAGGAAGAAATAGCATTTTTTTCTTGTAACCTGCCTAGGTGTAGCTCTGGTTGCTCCTCATGTTAGGTGAGGACAGCAGTTCTCAGCACAAACTACCCTGCTCCAGAAACTAGAACAAGCCCTCGAGGATGTGCCTAGCTGTGGAATAGAAAATAATCCTTTTTTTTTACCATTTTCAGTGGTAAATTCCCTGTGGTTCCCACACCCTAACGAATAACGCTGCACAGCCATCCTGGGTGGCTTGCTGGGACACTCAGGTGCAGGACTGTGCCCAGAGCCACACTGTGACTCTGTGGCAGAACCAGGATTAGAAACCAGGAAGCCCAAGCTCTGGATTCAGACATGGGGACCATATACCCACCAAGTATTTCCCATCTTCAGTATGAAGATAGTGCTTCAGTGTAGAGAACCTTGAATCCCGTGTGCTGTTTTGCCTGGGTCATACATCACTGAGTCACTTTGCTGGCGAGGATGCGGTTTGGTGGGGGACGGAGTGAGATATTGTGGCAGAGCCCAGATATGCAGCTCTGGAAAAAAAATGTAGAAAATAAAAGCTGAGAAAAAGCCAGATCTAGCAACTTTCTTTTCAAGAGCCAGCCAGGAGCCTCTTAAAGGGACTTTGGCTGGCAGTTTTATTAAGTGTTACAAAGTGATGGGAGGTGGTGGGGGGAGCTCCTATGTTAATAAGTTGGAAAGGCATCGCCGTTCTCACTGGAGCATCTTGGGGGAAGCAGAATTAATTCACGGCATATGCTCCCAGCATCTGCTGCAGTGACCTGGAGTGGCGGGAGCGCAGAGCGAGGCAGCAGGAGCCGGTGCGCGTATTCCCCAGCCTCGCTGCCTGCGCCCGTGCCCGAGCGCGCGGGGAGCCGACGCGCTCGCACCGCTGCTCGCTGGGGCCGCCGCAGCCGGGGGCGTTCAGGCTCCCTGAAGAGGGAGAAATGCTCCACACTCAGGAAGGATAAAGATGTCTGAACAGTGAGGAAGCCGTTTTGAATAGAAATGAATCCAGTTTGCCCCAAACAACCTTAATTCCGCCCCCCCCAGCCTAGTATACCTCTCCCCAGACGCCTGACGTTCTACAGGAGGCTCTGAGGCTCTTTGACTCCTCCTTCTCCTTCTTCCTTGTTTCCCACCACTTTTGAGTATCTCCAGAGGACAGAGGTTGACTTTGCTTTTAGGCTGTTATTTCCTTCCCTGCATAGAGGCTCCCTGGAAAGGCTCTCTTCCATCCTGTACTTCCACCAAACTGCACCGTGGACAGGGGCTCAGTCCCACCAGTCCGGGTGGGTTCATGCCTTGGTTCCCAGCTGGAGAGGTCACTGCATGTGCTCCGTGCTCTGATGCTTTCCCAAGGGCAGGGGCCCCTGGAGCCAACCTCCACTGCTGCTCGCTCTTTGGCCCCATCCTGTCACTTTTCTGCACAGCCTTCTAGGATGTGTGACACTCTCCTGGCCGGGAGCGTCAACGGAGCAAGCCAGGAGCGAGGTGGTGCAGCAGGAGCCCCGGGTCAGCTGGAGATGCTGCACGCGGCTGCCCCATTGCCTCAGCAGCTCCTCTCGCTTTCAGAGCTTGGCATCCCAGCACCTACCGGGGCTGTGCTCAGGCTGTGCAGTGCTGAGGAGAGCAGCTGTGGGGCAAGGCCCCTGCGCGGGCTGTGGCATGGCCGGGGAGCGGCCTGCTCCGACCCGCGGTGCCCGCTGCGTGCGGACGGCCAAGCGCTGTGGTGCTGGCGGCAGCCCTGGCCGCACTGGGACCTCTCCTCCGCCGCCCGGCGAGGCGGCCGC